AGGGGTCAATTATGGGAAAAGGGTAGAGAAACAGTTACCTGTGCAAGCCCCATTCAGGCCTAGTTGTAAATCTATGTTGGATGAAGCAAGTTGGGTTATGAAATGCCATTCCACATCACTTTGGGGAGCCCTCTGGAAAGAAAAATGGGGTATAGATAATGTGTCCCTAAGGATCCAGGCACAGGGCTTCCATTCTACTAACGAAGAGAAGAAATGGCGGTAAGGGCTGGGCAGGGCCTACTTAATGGGCGGCCAAGCAAGCTAAGGCTCCCTAGTCTAGGGCAAAGCCTTGCCCTGTCTCTAAGGCCCCACCTCCCAGGCAATGAAGGTGAGTTTTTCCTCATACCTCTGATGACATCAGACTCTCCTTGACCAAACAGTTGACTCCAAAGCCTTTTACAGTAATTAAGGGAGAAGAGTGCAAGAAGCTCAGGGCAACCTCATGCCTTTAAGCAAATTCCCACCTAAGTTAGAGTTGGCCAGTGATGAACATTCCTAGAGGGGCCAAAAAAATCTGTTTTCCATATTGGAGGACAACTTCTACTAACAGAGGCTGTCCAGGTCCCTCACACCAAGTATGCCAAGGATCCCAAGAATGTGTTCGAAGAGGCTAAGGAGAAGCACAAGCCGCCACTCGGGGCTTTTGTAGCTCCCATCTCTCCTGGTTTTTTATATGAGCCTCTTTTTGCACTATATATATATATATATACACACACACACACACACACGGAATATATATACACAAAAATATTTTTTCATAGAACTCGGGTGTGATGTTGGAATTTGGGGTTTTCTCATCTTCAGAATCCTATAATCAGTGTTATCAAACTCAACCCATTGTCAACACTTGGCGATAGCTGACTTAAGTCCCTCCAAAAAGAGAGTAAGATGGCACCTGGCATAGAAACAAGGCCTAAGGTTTCTATCATCCGGATATCAACCCAGCATGATTCAACATCAGTCTGTTCTGATGACTTCTGAGCTGGAATTAGAATGTAGTCGTTTCCTTCTCCAAACGATAACACTGCCTTTACCACCCACCCCCCAAAATCTGCCCATACTCTATGTGAAGGGTATGCACAAAGTCAGGAGATTTAGGATAAACTTCATGTTAATTACATTTTCAAATAATATGCTTGATATATTTTCACATAAAATACTCCAATAGTTCTAAAATTAATCTGAAACAGTACAAATACATCATAAAGTGTCCAAAAAGTCTGGAAACAGGAAAAACAGTATATTTGTTGCATCTTTTTTTCTTTAGATTAACAATGGATCCACTGCTTAAACTTTAGAGGTATGGCACCGGAAAAGATCTGGTCTGGTTGAAGAAAAACAAACTGAACACACTATTTGAAAATGTAAATTAACATACTGCTTAGAAATAAGTTTAGCTGCCGGGCGTAGTGGCTCACGCCCATAATCCCAGCACTTTGGGAGGCCGAGGCGGGCGGATCACAAGATCAGGAGATCGAGACCTTCCTGGCTAACACGGTGAAACCCCGTCTCTATTAAAAATATAAAAAAAATTAGCCGGCCGTGGTGGCGGGCGCCTGTAGTCCCAGCTACTCAGGAGGCTGAGGCAGGAGAATGGCGTAACCCGGGAGGCGGAGCTTGCAGTGAGCCAAGATACCACCGCTGCACTCCAGCCTGGGCAACAGGGCGACACTCGGTCTCAAAAAGAAAACAACAACAACAAAAAACAAGTTTATCCAGTGTTGCCTGATGTTTGAGGTGAAGTTCTGTATATTATACACAAACTACAGGACCCAGCATTTCTCAAGGGGCTACTCTGTGTGGAACCCTACTAGGTGCTTTATAGATGTTATCTTTGCACAAGAACCTGTGACTTGAGGACAGTAGCCCTATCTTGTGGATTAAGAAAGTGAGGCTTGGCCGGGCGCGGTGGCTCAAGCCTGTAATCCCAGCACTTTGGGAGGCCGAGAAGGGCGGATCACAAGGTCAGCAGATCCAGACCATCCTGGCTAAACCGGTGAAACCCCGTCTCTACTAAAAAATACAAAAAACTAGCCGGGCGAGGTGGCGGGCGCCTGTAGTCCCAGCTACTCGGGAGGCTGAGGCAGGAGAATGGCGTGAACCCGGGAGGCGGAGCTTGCAGTGAGCTGAGATCCGGCCACTGCACTCCAGCCTGGGCGACAGAGCGAGACTCTGTCTAAAAAAAAAAAAAAAAAAAAAAGAAAGTGAGGCTTAAACAAAGCAGAGGTTGCAAACTTAAAGGCTAAAAGACATCATGTAAATTATTAAAATACGAGGTACTGCCCCCATATCATGATCAGTTCAAGCCAATTGTTGCTAGGCTGGAATTCAGGCCCAGTTTTGCCAGATCTTTTGATTTTTCCAGATAAGTCAGAAATCTGGACTCATGCCATAATCCTCTGATTTTTAGATGTTGGTAACTAATTAAATTTTTATAAACCCTGTGTTGGCCAAGCCAAACAAATCTGCAAAGCAAATTCAGCAGCAAGCCTCCAGTTTGCAAACTCTGAATTAAAGTAACTTGCTTATGGTCTCAAACGAGAACACAATAGGACAAATCAGAACCCAGCTCAGTCGGCTTCAACTGTGTCTTTCCTCCCAGCACACTACAGAAGTAGCAGCACTGAATTAGAAGAAAATCTGTTTGAATGATTCAACTTCTAACGCTGGTGTAGAAGTGGTCTATGGAAGTGGCAGCTGTATGTGTCTCTATAAGGAAGTGAGCAAGCTGGAGGGTTTCTTACAGGAACGTTAGCAGCACTGAACAAGGGGGTGTGGCAGGGAGTTCAGCTCTTAAAATCTTCACAGAATGCAGACATTCCAAATGCCATCTCTGCCCACCTTCTTGATTTAACACCAGCAGAAAGAAAATTAGGAAAGCTCCTTACCCTACCCTAAAGTCAATTTAAATTGAAGTTGTATCCGAAACTTCCAAATGCATGAGACCTCCAAGTCTCTTATTTAAAGTAACCTTAACACATACCTTCTCTAGCAGGAAGACACTTCTGACAATATTAACCCAGGCTGAGGTTTTGTTCAACCATGCACTAAGATTAGAGATCCCCAAAACATAGACACCTGCAATCACCATATCCTCTAGGTTCAAAGGACTGTAGCACTTAAAGCTGAATGAATATCTCACTTCGTTTTCCACTCCTGACTGGAAAAAAGGTTCTCCTGAAACAGCTGAGCCGAATGACTTGCCTTATGGAGAATTAAGGAGCAGCACGCATGCACGCACACATAAGCAGCCATTTCTATAAATGCCTGAGAAAAATCACTCAGCCGAATGGCCCAGAACGCTGGAAACCCTGTTCCTGAGTCGGACAGACTCTGGCAGCTCACAGAGGCACTGCAGGCCTCCCTGGCTGCACGACTGGGCAGCGCCCTGAAGGAGAAAATGTCTTTGCTCAAGGTGGCAGTGGGTGCCGATGGGAACAACCGAACTCGGGGAACATGGCTGACACAGCCAGGCCCGCCCAGCAGCTGTTGGTGAGTAACATCCTCCGGTTAATACACCCCTACTTCACCCCCAGAGCCACACTAAAGGTCACATCCCCCAACACAGGCACATGCCTTTCAGCAACCTTACAGACACAAACCTTAAAACGTGCTGCTTTATGGCAACCTAGATGATGACCCCAAACAGAACCTGATTTTGCATTAACCATGGAGGAAATTCAGTCTGATTCCGGTGCCAGCAGCCACCTCCACAAGAAGAAGTTTCCAAAGGAAATGGAATGAGAAGCAGTTACGTGACCTTTCTTTTAAAAAGGAAAGCAAAACAAAACAAAAAACCCCAATCAAGTATCATTTTTTTTTTCCGTGTATCATTTTTAAACCACAGGCCCAAGACCTCATCTTAAAAGTGTCGAAGTATTACACCAAAAAATGACAACACTTTTCCAACTAACTCCAACAATACCCCCTCAAACACGGTGTCACAGGACAGAAGCAAAAGGCTTATCTGAGAGGACCAAGCCCCGCTACCTCGTCTGAATAGCGTTTGTGAGAGAAGCGTTCGGAAGATGGTCAGACAGCATATCCAAATGTGAACGCTTTCCAACTTTCACCGTGCATGTTAAACACAACCAAGAGAACTGGATGACCCAGGTCCCTGCAAGTCTCCAACGCCCATTTTAAAAGGCAGATAGATGTCTTTCTGGCCACATTCTTGTCCGGCCCTTCCTCTCATCCTCCCTGGGAGGAACTATTCCCTGAGGCCTCCAGAACCGCCCAACATTCATTACCAAGGTTGACCTCCGGCAAGGACCACACCTCCCTGCAAACCGCCTGATTCAGGGGTGGAGGGTGCGACCTAAGTCACATGGCCAAAAAAAAAAAAAAAAAAAAAAACTCAGCTCTGAAATCTGGCTCATTAGGAAGGCTAATGAGTGAAGTTAACCACCATTACTTGATCAAACTCCTCCGCTGCCTGAAGCAGGGTTATTTTAAACCTCTCGGGGGACTCCTGGCCAAATTTAAAACCACCTTGGCAAGCCCAGAAAAGTAGCAGGCATCCAGCTAAATGAGTCCTTAGTCATCCCTAAAAGGCTCGAAGTAAAGTGCGCCGCGTCCCCCCTCGGTTTCAACCACTTCTCTGCAACCCAACAAGGGAATTAAATAAAAGATACGCCATCTGATTTCCCCGCTGCCAGCGTCTTTCCCAGGTGGGGTGGCCCCACTGTCGCGGGGTGCGGGAGTCCCGGGGGCGGGGCGGGACAGGGGAGGGGCGGACACCACTCCCCGCGAAGCCACGCACCGCACTCGCTCTGCCCGCCAGTTTAAGGCTCTCCGTGGCTCCCGAAGGCCGGGGACAATTAAGGAGAGAGTGAGCTTTCCGCCAATGCACATTTAAATTATTTAAAGAGTTAAACCGCATCTTATCCAACATGTTTGCACCCTTTCGACCGAGTGCAGTGTCCCGAACGCCCAGGAACACTGCCTGGCCAAAGGTTAACTAACCCCAGAGCTCCGGGGGAGAGGGCGACGCCGCTAACCTGTATGCACTCTGTAATGGGCTTTGAGATGGGAGGATTTTCCATAGACTTTCCCACAGCCACTGTAGGGGCACTTGTGCCTCTTTTCGGAGGCGTGTTTCCCCTTCGCAGCCACTCCAGGGTGGAGGAGGGAGAGCGGGCTGGGCGCGCTGCCAGGATCCTGTCTCTCCTCCGGGCTGTGGGAAGGACTCGACCCAGATTCGGTGGTCACGTCGCTGTCGGATCCCATATCCTCATCTGGACTCTCCAGACTGTCGCTGCACACGGAGGGGGTCTGGATGGGTCGGTACTTGTTCAGGTCCAACAAGCTCTTGGCGATGGTGACCAGCGTGCAGTAATCCTTCCAGGTGTCCCCCGGGTCACCGTGCTCCTTGGTCACCTCGCGCTCAGGTAGTCGCAGCCGGTCGGCGTCCGGAGCGCCCCCATGCTCCGGCACCGCAGCGCGGTTCGAAATGGAAACCAGACACTGGGCAGCCACGAAGTCCATGTAGGCGGCCGCGGACATGGTGCGGGCGACGGCA